CCAGGGCTGAGGAGAGGGGCAGGATCACCTCCCTCGACCTGCTGGCAACACTCTGCCTAATGCACCCCAGCATACCATTGGCCTTCTTGGCCACAAGGGCACACTGCTGGCTCATGTTTAACTTGTTGTCCACCAGGACTCCCAGGTCCTTCTCGGCAGAGCTACTTTCCAGCAGGTCAAGAGACATTTCAAACAGGCAACATTTGGATTGAGTTATTTATACCAGTTGAGGCTGCAATTGAAGAAGGCTTCTAGGTTTCTTGTGTCCTAGCAGGATGTTGTCCCATCTCAATTCAATGCAGGACTTTTCACAGTTGGGTAATAACTTTGTATAACCAGCCTGCCTACCACGTCAGGTCAGCATGGAGAGGAATCCTTAAACAGCATTCTGGTATGAGGCTCAGTAGCCTTAACTGGGACAAGTTTTAGGAGAAAGCCATGCTCTGAGCACCACTCTGAGCATGAAAAATGGAAAACCAAAGGAAAAAATTTTTTTTGACCAAGAAGGATATACCCACAGTGGTGGAGAATGTCTGGTTAGTGGCCCAAAACTCCTTGAAATGTTCCAAGAAATAGAAAAACCCTGTGAAAAAATATCAAGCAAGGTGAAAAACCTCAGTTTCTCATGATGCTTTCCACAGCAGACACCTGGCCTCTGCCTCCTTTCTCCCCTACCTTTCCCACAAATTTCACTCACAAATGCAGTGAACCAGCAGCTCTTTTTCTCTATAAGGACAAATGGCAAATCCTGTATCCACTGTAACTTTCCAGGATCAAATCTGCCTATGGACAAGCAACTATAGAGTAACTGCCCAGTTATATAGGAGGGGCAGGAGCTTTAGTGCTAACAACCAAGCATTCACATTGTCCATTATTCAACTAAAGCTCGATCAAGCCAGAAAGATGAACAAAAGAGAAAAGTTCCCATTTCTTTCCTTAATAGCCACAGAACAAGGAAAATAGCTATGTGTCACTTCCAAGGAGAAAAGTTACCTTTTCAGCCACAAAACATATCCCTGGAGATCCAAAGAGCCGGGGTCTGGCTCAGCTTTAGTTAGTTATGTATCAAGTGCTATCGATCTGTTTGCTTGAAACAAATCAGCAGGCAGCAAAACCTTTTCTGCTCTTTATCTCTTGAAAATTGTGTTTTTTCCTCTTTGGGCTGGAGGATGACAAGTAGCCGGAGCTCAGGGAGGATGAGAGCGCACCCAGGTGCCTTGACCCTGCCTGTCCACTGCAATGGCACTAGGAGCCTCTATAGGTGACAAGAGGTGACCAGCCCAGAGCAGACACCTGGGTCTTCGCAACACGACAACCCCAAAGCAGATCTTCTAGGAACAATTTCTCTCTGAACAAGATTTTCATCTAATCCTGTTACTTACCCAGCTGTCAATCTACGCAACTGTTTTAGTAGTCATCTGAAAACCAAAATGCCTTTCTCTGTTTAAAGGATTCATAGTAGGGTTCTTATTTCCAATACAGCTGTGAGAGGGTTACGGCTTTGCACATTGATCCTGCTGAGGTGGTCTCCTCTCCTGCCTCTGGGCACCTTGGTCAACTGTGTCCCAGTAAGAAAGGACCATTGCTGGCCTCAAAGTTGGGATATTTGGTGCTAGGATTTATACCTGTTTCCTACAGGAATGTGAGCTGCTTCAAGGCTTATCAGGCTGGTGTCAAACTACTAATCCTGTTTAAAATTAGAGCTGGTAGAAAAACATGTCATTACAACGTATCTTGCAAAGCAGAAATCATTAATAGGGTTTGTATTTTGGGTTTTTTTTTTTAAGAAATTATTTCCGCTGCCCTCTCTCCCCTAAACACACACTCCTCTCCCATCCCACCCAAACCATGTCTCAGCTTGCACAGGAAGTTTTGTTTTTTCATCGGGAAAAATCCCCAAACAATCCTGAGTGAATCATTTTGGCAGAAAGCCAATATATTTCAGCACATATATATTGCCACAACACCTCTGGCATTAAGCATCCCAACTGGGGAAGGGCAGCAGGAGTACAGCTGCGTCAAGGACATGCAGAGCACAGCCAAAGCAAACCAGTTTCATTTTCCAGTAAAATACGCCACTTCCCAGCTCAAAAAAAAGGTTAGTTTGCCTCCTTCTGCATATGCATTAGTGTATGGCGTCTTGCTACAGTTGCAAGCTCTTCTATAGGACCCATTGGGCTATTTTTTCCCAGGGCTGAGGGGTTAGAGAAAGCCACAGGAGAAGAGCAGGAGACAGCTGGCCTGGCAGAGTCCTGCCTCGGCCACTGCATGCCCATGCTCTTCTGGTCATGTCTCTTAAAGACCCCTCCACTACAGTTTACCCTTAGAGTAGGTCCTCCTGACGCAGCGGGTCCCACAGGAAAAGCAGTGTACAATGACATAATTAAAAACTGCCAATTTGCACAACATGGCACAGGCGGAGGTTGCTCTGGCTTGACCTCATCAAGGCTGCGAGACTTTGCAGCCTTACTGAACGCTGTTTTTAACTAAGATGTTTTTTCGTGCAGTTTCCCAGCTCTCAAAAAAATTGAGAAAAAGCAGAACTTCATCCTGTGGCTCTACCTGTATCATGGATGGTACATGGGTGCTACATTTCAACCAGAAAGATTGAAGTTTGGCAAAGCTATAAGCAACTGCAAAGAGGCCTGATAATGAGAAATGTCAGGAAACTTAATAACTACAGAGATTAGCGCCCTGTCTCTAACACATTGTTGCTGTATTCAGCCAGCTTTCTATATATAATGTCGACAGCTACACACAAGCTGTGAGCAGTTCCTATCTCATCTAGCCTATTTGAGTCTCAAGCAACTCAACCGACTTCTCTAGAGCTGTTTTGGATTTACACTAGCTCTGCTGAAAGAGGAATTGAGCAGACGGACAAGACACTGCTGCTGCAAGCCAGTCCCGTTTCTCTAAAAACAGAGGAGCTGGATGGCTTTTCGCAAAAGGAGGCTCTAAGAAATGTACTTTGGATCTCTGTTTTTCCTTGGCATAAACCAGCACAGCTCTTCAGCTTCCAGTGAGCTGCACTGATTTACTGCAGAGGGGGACCAGGCCCTCTGCTCGCGGCGCTGCAGGATGATGGAGGCAGTGCTGACAGCAGAGTCCAGCGCTGCTTCTAATCCCGGTACAAATTAACTGCTCGATATAAGCAAGAGCAACGAGCAGAGTTTTGGGTATGAAAGGTGAGTGCACCACAAGTCAGCGGCTCAGATGACGGGCAGTTCCGCTAATGACCTTTCCCCCCAGCCCCTCAGCTCCTGGCTAACCAGCTCGTGCTGCAGTTTGGTGGGAGCTGAGATGTTTATCACAGCCAGCCCTGGTGCTGCTTCCTTCACTCACCATCCCGGCTCTGTGCCAAGTCCGTGCCCTTGGTTCCTAAGTCAAGCTTTCCCCATCAGCCATGGCATTCCCCAGAGCTCCTCAGGGCTTTTCTTAAATCCACGCTAACGGATGAGATTTTGACAGGGACGTCCCTTTAAATTCCTCCCCGGTCTCCCCATGATTTTCTAAGGTGCTTAGGGCTGCTCTTTTACATCGGATGGCTCTAAAAAAAAAAAAAAGAAACAAAATAAATCCCCTCTCCAAACCCTTCAAACCAAAAAAAAAAAATGACATGATTAATTATTCTGGAAAAGGCTGTTTATAGTTTGGGCCCCATAAAATAGAATGCCTGATTTAATACACTATCCAAGAATGTGCTGTTTTTCATTTCAGCACAATCAAGACCTAAATCTGTGTGTGTCTCCCCCTCATATGAGCTGGAAATGGTTTTATATTCCATCTTGCTTTAAATTATACACATCAAGTTTATAATGGGACACGGTCTATTTTGTTGCCAAAACCTGCTTTGTAAGATCATCTATTAAACTGTATTTATTTTTTATGACAAACAAGAAAAATGACAAAACAGCTACTGAGCTTCGGCTAATGAGGACCAAATGCCTCCCTAGGCACCATTCGCATTACGCTCGTTTGTACAGTAGCTGAGTTAACTTCCTCCCATCTACCAGCAACGACCTAAGTTAAAACTGAGCTCTGTAACCCACCC